TGTGGGGCAGAGCTTAATTCACTTAGAGCAGGCATGATGGGATGAAGGAAATGCACATCATCACCATTAATTTGCAGTAATTTTTCATGGGTGAGAGTGAAACATATCTTGAATCCATTCTTTTTTTCCCTTTCTCCTTCCAGTGTCCTAGTCAAGCCATCTCATCTGGCCCCTAGGTTATTCTAGGTTATTCTAGTAAGCTTATAACAGTTTTTTTCCACTTCTACTCACCTCTCTCCCCAGTTTGGCTTTGAAATTTAAACTTCTTACGTGGTCACTTGTACTTTACGAGGTCTGAGTCCCTGTTGACTTCCCCACTGTCATTTTGCCCCTTGCCCCTTCATTCACGACCCTCCTTCCACATTGGCCTCCCATGGGTCCCCTACTCCAAGCTGCTTTCCCCTTTAAGGTTTCTGTATTGCTCCTTCTAGAACATCCTTTGTCGACTTGTTCTTTCTCACCCTGAAGGTCTCATTTCTGATGTCGCCTTTCAGAGAGGTCCTCCTTGATTATACAAAACAGTCATCCCTGGTATAAGGACAGAATAAGCCCCCTTGTTACATTCTTCACTACTCCCTGCTTATCATGACTCTACCATTTCTCATTAGTCTCTGGAATAACGTCCTGCTAATTGTTGCTACCTGTAGTACTCTCATTTTCGATCTCACTAATATCCCCATCCTCAATTCATTTCCTTTGTGACCTCGTCACAATATGTGTCTGCTTCCTTTTCTCTGCTTCTCTTTCTTCATCATGGTAGAAGTTCTTGAGGGCCAGTGCCACCTTTGCTTTGTTCTTCTCCGATTCTTCAGGGCGGAGCAAGGTAACGTTGAAGGGGCCCAGGATGTGGTTGTTGAACAAGTGAAAGGAATACCAGAAGCCTGGTTCTGTGCTGTTAGATTACCTGAGTACATGGGAGGGTCAAGGAAAGGTTGTGTGGAAGAAAAAGGCATTGCTTTCTTTCCCAAACCATGCACTTCTCTGTGGATTTTCAAAGTTGATTTGCTCAGGATTAGCACACTTGGTAATCTAGTAACCTACCCCTTGAGATATAAGAAATGAGACTGTTCTTTTGGTTTAAGATGACAGAACACATTTATTTACCTCTACTTTTCTTTCTCTAACAACCCATGAGAGGTTAGTCATTAAAGGTGTTTGTAATGTACAAGCTCACAAGGAGAAACAACTTGGAGAGGAAATGATGCCACTGGTTTGAAAGCTGGAGTGTAGAGTCTAAGTGGGAACTGATGTAACAGACCCCAAGGATTGGAATTTTGATTTAACAGTGGAAAGACTCCCCACAACTCAGATATCGATGGTACCAGGTGTGGCTGAAAACAGGATTGAATGAAAGACTAAGAAGCAATCAGACTTCAAATCCCACCCCACTTGTACTTCTCAGAGCTTAGGAACTTCCCTCACCCTTGCAGAAGACTAAGGACTCAGTCTCTGGACAGCATACAAAATGCTGGGGGACACTTGGCATAATTCGTTCAGCATGGGAGTCAGGGGACTAGATTGAAAATGGGGTTTGAGCAAATGTGAATACTGCATATGAGCCCCCAGAATCTCTTCTCTAATTTTGACTCCAGAATGTAGCCTGGCTTCTATTTTCCAGTCAGGAGACTGGAGGACTCTTCCTGTAGAAGCTGACCAGTACACGTGGAGATCTGCAGATAACTACTTTGGGGTTTCCACTTAAACAGGGCAACCACATAACCCAACAGGAGAGCCCATGCTTGATAGATTGCACTTGTGAAAAACACCAAGTCGGCCTTTGCAGGCCCGTTTCCTAAACATAAGCAGCTAAGATTGCTGTATTTCACAGGAAAGCCGCTAAGCTAAAGAGAGAAATAAAAACAAGAAAACGGAAACAAAGAAACTTGGAAGAGGGACTATATAGGGGGAGGTAAACTTCAACAACAACAACAGACCATTATTAACATGACTAGGGGTAAAAGAGATGTTACAGCCATGAAGTAAGAACAGGATGCTCTAAAAAAAGGAACATGGGAAAGGACTCTTAGAAATTAAAAGCATAATAGCAGACATAGAAACTCATGAATTGGAATATAAAGTTGAGGAAATTTTCCCAAAAGTGAAACAAAAAGACCAAGAAATAGAAAATCAGAGTGAAAAGATAAGAAAAATAGATGAAAGGCCGGGCGCGGTGGCTCAAGCCTGTCATCCCAGCACTTTGGGAGGCCGAGGCAGGTGGATCACGAGGTCAAGAGATTGAGACCATCCTGGTCAACATGGTGAAACCCCATCTCTACTAAAAATACAAAAAATTAGCTGGGCATGGTGGCGCATGCCTGTAATCCCAGCTACTCAGGAGGCTGAGGCAGGAGAATTGCCTGAACCCAGGAGGCGGAGGTTGCGGTGAGCCGAGATCGCACTATTGCACTCCAGCCTGGGTAGCAACAGCAAAACTCTGTCTCAAAAAAAAAAAAAAAAAAAAAAAAAAAAAAGAATAGGTGATTATACCAGGAGATCCAGTAACCCAACAATAAGGGCAGTTCTCGAAAGAGAAAAGACAAAACAGAAGGGAAAAAAATCAAAGAAGTAACAGATGAGTTCAAGGGTTCTATTGTACAATATGGTAACTATAGTTAATAACAATGCTTTGTATTCTTAAAAATTACTGAGAGTATATTTTAAGTGTTCTTGCCACAAAAAAGATAAGCATATGGGCTAATACATATGTTATTAATAATCTAAATTTAGTCAACCTACATTGTATATATATTTCAAAACAGTACATTGTACATGAGGAAGAAAAAGGAAATAAAGAAAAACAGAACCATGTTTTTCTAAAACATGAAGACATTCAGCTTGAAAGAATCGATTGAGTGCCCAGAAAATGAATGAAAATATACCCAGACCGTGATGACACCAGAAATAAAGAAGAGCCTCAGGGAATCCAGAGAGGGAAAAACGAAAAGATTTCATCCAAAGGATCATGAATCATAAATCATATTGTCGCCAGACTTCTCAACAACTAGGACACAATAGAGCCATGTTTGCAACCCCAAAGGGAAATGATTTCCAATTCAGAATGTCATACCTAGCCAAGCTGCCAATTACATCTAAAGAGTTGTACTTCAGGTACCCTTTCTCATGAAACTACTAGAAGTTTTGTGTTAGGAGAGCAGGAGATTAAACCAAGAAAAAAGAAGTTGTGGAGGTTCAGGAACCAGGAAGGAGGCGAAGAGAACCAGGAAAGAAAGAGGTGGAGAGAATCAGCATGGTGGGAATGAATGTAGACCCGGGAGCACAGCCATGCCATAGAGAGCAGTGGTCTACTTGGAGCAAGTTAGAAAGTTTCAAGGAAACATTTCTTGGGAAATGAAATGAAACCTCAGATAATTGGAGAAGTGGTTGGAAAATGATCTTAGATATTTAAGTCTGGCTCATGCCTATAATCCTAGCACTTTGGGAGGCCGAGGCAGTTGGATCAACTGAGGTCAGGAGTTCAAGACCAGTCTGACCAACATGGAGAGACCCTGCCTCTATTAAAAATACAAAAAATTCGCTGGGTGTGATGGTGTGTGCCTGTAATCCCAGCTACTCGGGAGGCTGAGGCAGGAGAATCTCTTGAACTTGGGAGGTGGAGGTTGCAGTGAGCTGAGATCACGCTATTGTACTCCAGACTGGGCAACAAGAGTAAAACTCCATCTCATCTCAAAAAAAAAAAAAAAAAAAAAAAAAAAAAAAAAAAAAAAAAAAAAACACAAAGAAAACAAAACAAAACAAAAGAAGTCCATAGAAAACTCAGTGAAATTTTTAGAAAAACAAAATCATCATTAATTCCAGGGTAAGCAATTTTGGCAGGAAAAGCAACATAATCGTAATATACTACACAATTCAGTGCTAACGGTATTCTCCTAAACATAATAATATAAACATGGAATATTCTCCTAAACAAAAGCAGGCCATCAGAGTTAGAGAACTGTTGAGAGGATAGAGGGGTAAAAAGTGTGCTTGTGTTTGGGGTCATGAAGGTTGAAGAGGAGGGAAGCTAGAAGAAGAGGGAAACCTTCCTCTCTCCCCACGAGAAGTCACAGCTACTAATTCCACAAGATGTAGTTCTCTAACCGTGTTATTAGACTTTTAGGAGGTAAAAATCAAAAGACTCCCAAATGGGGAAAGATGGATAGTTTGGCAGGGGTTGCTGTTTTTTTAATGTGTAGATAGGCTTGACTTTTCAACTGCACATGTGTACCTTTCATCACAATCAAAGCAAATTGAAAAGTGGGTCTAGTGCTTCTTCTCTAGTGACACAGTCGTTTTGGATGTTTCTCTGATCTCATATCATGATGGAACCTACCCTCTCTGAAATTTTGTGGTCCTTTTGACTTGTATGCCAGATCATTAGTGCAGGTGAAGGATGAGGGAAAGACAGGCATGAGAAACCCAAGTCATTAGTGCGGGTAAAGAATGAAGGAAAGGCAGGCATGAGAAATGCTGTTTTGTGGACAGTGTCAGGGCCCTTCTTTCCTTCCACGATCACAACAATAACCACTGCAACAAAACAACAGCATCACGAAAGTCAACCTCATCCCCTGCTGCCCAGCACTCCAGTGGGGATTAGGACATGGTTTATTTCTAGGTTCCCACCATACATTGAGTGAAATGTCTATTTTAGTTAGTTGGCAGTATGGCCAGAGAATTCAAACTGATCTAAATGTACGTAAACAGACATGACTAGGAAGACAACTCTCATGAGAAGCAACATGAGATATAGATACATTTTATAATATGTATCATTCAGGAATTTTTCTACTTTGGGAATTGGTTTCGCCATTTCCTTCCTTCATAATATATTTTACTTGACCCAGTGTGAATTGGTTGGAGATACACTGAGTTCTTGCCCACACCCTGTGAGATGAGGATTAATGAGCTCAGCGGTGGTCATGAAGTCAAACAACCTCCCAGGAAATTACTCTTCGCTAATTTTATAATTCCAGATGTATGTAAATGTGCCTGTCCTGTTTCAGGTCTGTTGCTCGAGGAACCATCTTGTGCCACCTCAGAATCACCTCCTTGTTGTCGGAAGGAAGAGAAGAAGGAAGATGACTGCAGGCAAATCTCAGGAACCCTCTCTCTTGGTACAAGTTCAAGGACTGTCAGGGAAATGGACAAACGAACTGTGCAGGTGGGCGTGATGATTTTGACCTGCCTCTACCTATTCCTGGTCTAGCTTTATAGCTCTGCTTGTTCTTGTTACTCTCGCTCAGTGTGGCAGAACTTGCGCAGATCACCTCATGAAGATTTGCAGCACAGAAAGCCCATTAAGGCAAACAAATACCTCAGAACATTTTTTGTCAAATGACTGAGCAACTTTGGTAGTGAAAACATTGGGATAGTTTCTTTAAAAAAACCCAAGTATCTTATAAATGCACACCTGCATAGAGAGATGGCTGACAGACGTCATAGCAACATGAAGCACCCCCCGGCCCCAGGGCAGATTGTGGGGCTGCGTGTTGAAAACCACTAAAATACGTATCCAGACCGCACTTGGAAAACCACTCATCTGGGGGAAAAAAAAGCCCTTCAATACACAGTCCTATAAAATAGTACATCATGAGCTTCATGAGCAGTGATAACTTAAAAAAGGAAGCTGAGAACTGGTTAGATAATTGAGTGGTTTTGTTTTTCACAAAGCCGGATAAAAGCACATAGATTCTCAGCAACCTATCTTGTATCAGTCAGGAGCTTTATTCGAGTTAATGCACCAATTAGTTATTAATGGAAACTTATTGAGGGCATCATATTGAAGTTCATGCTTGGTAAAGAATCATTAAGACCTCAAGACCTGTTTTCATTGAGAACCACGTTCTGACCACATTTTTCTTTGTACCTATTAACCTTCTTTCCCCCCGTTTTTTTCCTTTGTACTTTGTTGCAGGGTATTTCTCCATCTGCTGGTGAGCATGGTGATTGTACTCCTCACAGCACTGCTGCCACATCAGGAGTATCTCTGCAATCTGACACCAACTTGGCAGTGGTTAATGATACGCCTCTCCCTCCTGGCAGAGGTCTTGACCTTGGGTTGCTGGAGACTCAGCTGCTTCCTTCCCAGGATCCAGTCTCAACAGATCCCACACCATGCATTTTCTCAGATGCTCAAGGGCCTTCTTCCTTTGGGTCCAAAGGAACTTTTCCCCGCCATGGCATTCCTACCTCTGTGGCTGCCATTTGTGTTTCTCTGACAGCGAGAACGGATCACATAACCCAGGGAATTCACAGTGCTGAACCACAAGACCACAGCCAGACCGCGGGGAGGAATCAGATACCACGCTCCCCAGACAGCAGAGCCACAGAAGAGGGCAGAGCACAGACCCTCTTGCCAGGGAGACCTTCATCTGTACAAAGAATTTCAGATTTGGTTCCACTGGGGTCAACTGAAAAAACTCATCTTGAACTACCAGCTTCAGGACCAGGTTCAACTAGTTCACACCAAGAGGAAGGGAGACCGAAGACATATTTTCCTCCCAGAGGCCAGTATGGGTGTGGGGAAACGACTGTCCCCTGCCCCTCTTTAGGAAGTGACAGTGGGAAATGTCAGGGATCTGAATTAATCACTCGGAAGGGTTCTGTGGTTCCTTCTAACCCAGGGCAGCCCATAGGAATTCCTGAAGCCCCTTCTAAATCCCTCAAGAAGAGGAATCTGGAAGGAATAAGAAAGCAAACTCGAGTGGAGTTCACTGACACCAGCAGCGACGATGAAGACCGATTGGTGATAGAAATATGAAGCTTCCAGAGAAAGATGGTGTCTTTGGTCAAAGTCTGTTGTTGACACTTCACAAGTAAATGTCGTCGGGCTGGCAGAAGAACTAAACTCTATCTATGTAACACCTACAGATTAGGAGAGCCACTTTGAGTTCTTTATAAGCCAACTCCGACTGACTCCAGACCCCCAGCTCGGCCACAGCCTTCCCTCGCTCCCCTTGGGTGTGCTCTGCTCACGTTCACGTGGTGCCAGGCAGGGAAGACATGGCAGGAAGCAAACTCTGCAAATGGCCAACATACACAGTGACTTTCAGGCTCGTCTTGTGCACCTGTCCCCCACTGTCTCTCTGCAATCAATTGGCACTAACCAAGAAAGCCACGATCAACACATTTCTCCACAAGTGGACCCCACAGAGTCGAGGCAACTGACTTTCTCCCTTAGTAAATTGAGGGTTTGCTTCCCAGGTGGAGAGCATGCTTGGGATAATTGGAGAAGTTTGACAAAGAGACAGGGGTGTGAATTGGGCAGGAAGAGACTTCTGTTCATTTTGGAGACAAAATTCAGATACATTAAAAAACCGAAGCTTGTTCAGGGTAATTCACATCGTTAGTGGAGTTGTAAATATCCTTAAAAATGCCTATGATCCAGTGAAATGCTGATCGCTTTTAAATTTTGCACAAACGGTCAATGCCTATTGTCAGATGACGCAAACAGCTGCTCTTTTGCCTGGTACCTTTCCTGTGGAGACCTCTGAGACCGCTGGTTTTCCTAGCTCTTGCAAAGGAACATTGTGTTAAAAGTTAATAGAACTGTCTCTCTGTAATGAGTCTTTTTTTTTTTTTTTTTTTTTTTGAGAGGGAAAAAGTCACTTATTTTCCTCTGATTCTTTTTGTCACATTGTGCTCTGAGGAATTTCAATTAGAAGGTTACATTTTAGTAATCTGTACAGCTTAAACTGATGCCTGCTCATCGTGACGGGAGCCTTTTAGATTTCCTCCAGAAGCTTCAAGGATACAAAACTAATTGGAGTTTTGACGCTGTTTTACGTCTCAGTAATTTTATTTTCGGGGCTTGGTGTTACTTTGCTGTCAAATTAAATCAGCTTCTGTATTGTGCAAGTCAGAACTGCACAGATAAAATTCCCCAGTATTCCAAGCCAGTGCATCCCTGTGCAGAAGAAAATAGCAGATCTACGCCAGCCAGCCCAGTGAGCAAAGCTTCAGATCCACTGCCTTCCTCTCCCCCTCCTTTCATGGGAGAGGAGAAACTTAAAGAGGTTTACATTGCTACATTTCAAGAAAATTTTATACTTGCTTTTGGTATGACTTTGTACAATTTGAAATTTATAGCTGAGCTCTTTTAACGTTGATGTAATGATGTTCATATGACATCTTGTACTTCAAAGACACAGCAGCAATGCAGAGCATCTCACACATATGAATACACTTTAGTCAGTCTGTGCCTGTGACTAAGTATGGTCAAATTTCAAGTATCTTCATGTGAATTTTCCAATTTTGGTGTTATTCATAGAAAACTTCAATGCCAGACCAGCTTCCCCGGTTACTTAGCATATGTTTGTGGCCATTTCACGTGCACTCATAAATACCCAAGGATTTCAGGACCAGCCAAGAAAAACATAAGGGAGGTAAAAAGGATGTTGGACATTCACTTACTATACTTTTAAACCCAGCAAAAGCAATGTGGTAATTATCTCCCCTTTCGAATGATCCGTGCCACTGTAATAAGAGAGGCAGTGGAGGCAAATGGTTTGAGCCTTGGATGGAGACTGAAGTCCTTACTTTAGCTCAGAAATCTTGGTTAAGAGTTTCTCTGTACCTCAGTTTCCCTAAGTGAGTGTAAGACAGTTGGACAAGATGAATTGAATGTGTCTCCAAGTTCCAATGTTTCTGAGAGTGGTTGAGAGAGAAGCTGCTCTCTCCTTAAAGTGTGTGGACTCAATGGCTTGAAGACATTCCCCATGGGGAACAACTGCCACGGGAATCTTGCATGCAAGAAGTTTGGGTGGGGACAGAGAGGAACTGAAACACAAATGCCTTCCACCAATTATTGCAGTGAAGAACCTGAGCCTGAAGAAGCTTCATCTAATCTTTTCCCCAGAATTCAGATTTTAGGGTGCAGCCATCCAACCTATACATGTGGCTCATAGTTCAAAACTTAAAAGCAAAACCAGAATACTCCACTATGAATGGAGAAAACCTATCTGTAGGCTGAACTGGCTCCTTTGTCTTAGGAGGCACTGGTCAGAAGGGGAAAAAAGCTGTCTTCCAGATCCCTCCTTTCTGAGCGACTACTGTGGCATCAATGGGATCACTGACGTAAATCAGCAAGTCATAGCTCCAAATAGCAGCAACTTGAGGGTAATGGTGGAAGCTCTGTCCTTCTAGGAACCACTGTTGCTGGCTGTCCCATCCCAACCTAGGTCAAATATAGCAGAAAGTTGATTTCATCTCTAACTCCCTGCGTCTCTTACAGAGGTAGAGTAGGTTGCCAAACCACCTTGCCTCCCTGGTCTTTGGTAGTGGCTGGCAATGTTTACAAGTGTACCTTACTTTATATCAACATGAATTTGTGGAAAAGTTATATTTCAATGGATTTTTAAAAATAAAAAAATGTATTTTGAATGACCCTAAGGGAGTTCGCTCTTGAAAAGCATCCTAAGGTAAAGCGTTTTATTTTTTTGTTGTTGTTTGTTTTTGTTTTTGTTTTTGTTTTTTTTAATGAAACTTTTTATAAAGCAACCATCTCTGAGTTTTTAAATCTTAATTTTCTTATGGGCTTTCTTAAAGTGAAATGCAATTATAAGAACACATTTTAAGGGTAACATCAACAACCTGGAAACCCAGCTTGGGTTACTGAAAATAAAACATCAGTATTATCAATTGATAACTACCCCAGTTTTATACTCTGCTTGATGGCTAAGGAAAAACAAATTTACTTAAGAACAAAGCAAACCAGAGTTTAAAGATCAGGATTTCCTTCTTTCCCCAGTGCTGTTAATTTTATTATATCTTTAGGGAGGGGTCTAAACCAACTGGTGCCTTAGTTTCTTTCACAGAGAATAGTTCCAGGGATGCTGGCATGAACTAAGGCAAAGGGCACTGATTTTTTTTTTTTTTTTTTTTGCCAATCTCAAAAGTGACATTTCCCCATAATGTTCAAGACTCAGCAGGTTCCTCTCTCCAGCTGTACCTACACCCAGCGCCGTCTTGTCGTGAAAGATGTATGGAGGTAGGCTTCAATCCTCCTTCCTTGACAACCTACACTGTTAAGTGACTCAAAGTCATGTGATTTTTGGTGGACAACTAGAATCCTCCTTCTTGTAAAACATGTTGAAAAACAGCCCGTCTCTCCTGTTAGGCTTAACCCTTGAGATTTAAGGCAAAGCTAATAACCGCTTTGGTCCACATCTCATAGTAACCAGGAGAACCTATGGTTCATTTGCCAAGTGATTAAAAAAAAAAGATGGAGGAGGGTATCTCTGAATGTAGTCAAAACACTGCCAATAGTATGATGAGTAATGTAGGGCAAGTCAGACTTTTTCTTCCTCAAATTGCTCTTGTAAAGCTGAGATCGGAAGGGTAACCTTGCAGATGCGTGTTATGACCACAGTCCTTGGCATGAAAGATAAACGATTTGATGTCTCATGCCAAAAAGTATTTCCTTGCATTTACATTCATTACTTAGAATGATCACATTATTCATTTTTTTCCCTAACACAGAAATTTGCATTTTGCACAGAATTTGCCTGGTGCAGCAGATTTTTATAGTTATGGAAACTGTCATCATTATCGGAATGTGCTGCTGCTCAACTCCCCAGACATAATTTAATATGGTGAGGAGAAAATCGCCTGCCTGGTTCTATGGGCGATCATATTTCCACTGCTGCAGCAAACCAGGCTTGTGTATTTTTCTTCAGTTGTTATTCCCGTAGTTCATCAAGGGAGACACTTTGGCTTTGGAAACACTACATTTCTCAATACTTAAGCACAATTTCTTGTCCTTATTTTTCGGAAATCATTAAATGTAAGGGTCAGGACCTAGAAACTCTTATGTGCTAGATTTCTACCCTGTATGATTCTTTTCATCATCCATGCTTTGTACTTAGGTAGGAATATATATACATAATTTGGTCTGAAGAAGTATAGGAACATTTGAGCACATTACTTCACCCCTGGAAGAATAGGAGCCAGGTGAAAATATGAGCCTCTGCCACTTGGAGCGCTAGAGGATGATGGACTATCTTAGGTGGGCGGTCAGCTATTGAGGATTTACTACTCAATCGGTTGTTCACAATCAGGGAAGTGATTGGTTTCTTGGTTGTCGAAATTTCTTTATGTGGTTAAATTATTTTGTTTCGATAAAAATAAAACTTAAAATGCAAGTGTCTCGTGATTTGTCAACATTTTAAGCAAAACCACTTCAAAGCATATCCTATATCAATTGGACATCTGATTATTCCCAGTCATTGACCAAACAGTTCATCTGCTATACTGGTATCCCATTACACTCAACAAAGGGATTTGGTAATGTCAGATGATCTCCTTTTCTCTTGACGTTTCCTTTTCACACGTGGCTTGTCATTATCTGCTGTATTTTATAGTCCATAACGTAGGAATCTGGTTTTAAATTCTTAAATGTAGTGTAACTTTGAAGACACAGGAGTGCACGATCCACAGTGCAATAATCCAGAATCTTTTCCTCTTGGAATTGATGTTTTTTGGACATTTAACATTATTCATTAACAGAAAAAAATCCTTAAAATCTAGCTTCTTGTGAAGGTGATTTATGTACTCCTTGCAAGAATAAGTAGACTTACTTTGACAGCCCAATACAGTATTATTAGTCTATGTACATACTTCTTGAAGACACTTGAAGCCAATGGAGCACAATTCATTGAAAGGAAAAGTGGGACTGAGAATGTGGAAGGAGCAGATACACTAATTGATAGCTCTTAATAGCTTTTCTCCAAACTCGTCAAACTGTGATTATTATGATTAATCTATTTGTTCCAAACCTCAGTCATCTGAGAACCATCTTAATGCTTTTTGCTATATGTAGCAACATGACACATGTGGGTATATTAATACTTTTATTTAAATTATTTCTCTCCAGAATTCACAGTTGCAGTAGGACATGCTTCTGGAGCCTACATGTAGCAGGACATTAATTGGTGATAATTTAATTAAACTCCAAAATCATCCCCCTGCCCTGCTCCTTTTCACCTTGAGGAGAAAGAGCCAGGAGAAAGGATGACATGTCTATGAGCCCCAAGCACACTGGAACACTGAGATGTAGAGAGCTGGAGTAGCCCACCCTGCTGGGGGAATCAGCAGCAAGCCTGCTGTGAACTTTGGTTGAACTTCAGAGAAGTGAAACCATAATAGGAGGATATGTATGTCTTGGGGTAGAACAGACGGACTTAGAGAGAGATAAACTAGCTTTCACTGACCTTGCTGCAAGATAGTTTTTAGCAAAAGGATGTTAACTAAAGTATGAGAATAATAACCACAGGCTATTCTAAGTAATTGCACTCTCCCTCTGCCATGTGCTTTGTGAACGTATAAAATAAAGTACACTGAGACGGGTTGGGGCCAGAGAGACTGACATCCTCACCTCCCTGACCACCTGGCCCAGCTTTCTCTATGTCTGTGTCTGTATCTTTTCTTTATCCCCCACTGTTCCCTCTTAGGTTTTTGAACCCTTGTGCAGCACGGGATACAGCAAGTAGACACCAAGGAAATATTTATACAGAAAAGGATAGGATTTTACTGTGAAAGTAGATGCAACCCGAATGCTCTACAAACTGCTATAGCCAACCGGAATGAAAAAGAATGAACATCAGTGCTGGGTACCAGGTTGAGACAATCCAGAGCATTGGTTTGCACCTTCTTCCTTTTAAGGGAAACTGAGGACCAGAGGGTTTTGCCCAAGGTTGGGTCAGAGGCAAAGTGGTGACTGACACCAGGACTTCACCACTAAAGTCCAACGTTTTTGCCATGACACCACCACCTTCTGTTTCCAGAATTTTCCATTATGCTCTACTGTCTTTGCTAGAAGTGGAAGGAAGAACACGTTGTACCAAGATTTTCTGCATCAGGGTTTGGAAATTTTGATGAATTTTTGGTTAACTGAAAGTTTCTTAGAAAAATTATCTAGACTGCCCATCCCTAAATGTTCTACTAAATCAAGGTTTGATTGTATTTGTTTCGCAAAAAGAAAACTGGTAATACATTTAGACTCAAATAGATATGCCTTGTGCCTATGTGGTCTCATAATTTATGCACTTGAGTTGCTGTTCTGT